AGGGGGTCCAGGGAACTTGCCCGCCTCTGTTGCGGACGGAGTCTGTCCGAACAGGTTTGCCTGCTGCTTTTCAGGAGAACGTTGCTGGGCTGTTTCACCTCTTGGTTGTGTTCGCGTTGCTGTCTTCGGGAAAAACAAGTGGGGTGAGTTACAGCAGGCCCGGTACTTGGCCCGCAGTTTCTTAACCTTGGCGCGAATCACACAGAGGCGGTGAAAACAGCTCACGCCTCAACGTCCAAGCTGTGGGAAAAGCGACCATGGCTCTGTCTTTGGTGGGCACTGTTTTGGTCCCGTCGTCACAGCAGTTCAAGATGGAACGTTGTCACTGCAGTCCATTGAGCTGAATCTCATCACCGACTCGCTCAGACAGAGGTCCTCTTCCATCCCAGTGTGCATTGTGTAGACAGTGGATTTCCAAGACAGGCAGTGTCAAGAGACATTGGACGCGCGTCTACAAGATGAGCTGTCACACAGCACCAAGCTCGGACCATGCAATGGAGACGTCTGGCCTTCGACGTCCATGGTGTCGAGTTAAGGTGCCGGTGGGGCAAAAACATCGTGACACAGGACAAGTGCTCTTTCAACTGCGCATCGGATACGACTTCTCTTGATAAGACCTTCCCAGCAGACAGTGTCAAGAAATGGGCAGTGCAATGTCAGTCTTTGTCAAGAGCCATGCACAACGTGCTTGCGCAAGCACTTACAACGGCATCATGCTGATGTGTGGACCCGCCTCAGCCTCGTGTTGATCAGCTGTGTGCGGCATAGGCATCTAGCTTGTCCATGTCAGTTCTGAGACACATGCAATCACGACCAGAAAGGTCAACCTGCATCCTCTAAGCACGCCACCCCAGACGGGGCACCACACAGACACGGGCACGGCGCCTGAAGCCTAGAGGCAACGCGTCTGCCAGGTCTTACACTGGGGGACCTGTGGGAAAGGACGCTGTGGGGTGAAAAAAGTTTGGCCAATCTTACCTCGAGTGGGACTGAGACGATTGCTCCGCACAGCGTGGACTGCATCAAGAAGCACATAGGTCAAACGTCCAAAATCGAACAAGTTCTCTTTTGCTTGGAAGTACATCACAACTGCACAGGCCGCACACTTTCTGTGATTTGGTCCACAGCTCACTTTGGACTTGTTGGTTGTACCACCGGCTCTTAGGATCTACCGGGGAGAGGATCCCTTCTCTTTCGTTTATCACTCGTCTTATCAGGAATCAATTCCTCCTCTAAATCAATTGTGACGTTTTGTGGAAGACCTCTCTGGGCTTCACCTTCCTTCATCACAAACACATGCTCAATCGGGGCCTCAGTGGTGACCCAAGTCTTTCTGCTCTTCTTGAGGTTCACAAGCGAATTTCATGGATTGTGTCGCATAACGGGTTACGGAGAGATCGATTGTTGTCCGACGGGAGCAAAACGACGGCCGGTTCTCCTTGCGTTGGAAGTTCCACTCTCATCCAGGTTGCTTTGGTTGCCGACTCTTTCTCAGCTTCACACCACTGAGTGGCGAAGAAACCTTGTGTCCCTTGTACACAAAGCTATTCCGTTTTGACAAAATGGACATGGCGACAGGAGCTTTGCCGGCTTTCTACAGCTTCGATCTTAGATATTGGACTTTTCTGGGCGCTGTTTCACTGTTTTTCAATGTGGTGGTTTCAATCCGTATGCTCAGTTTGGACTGAATGCGGCAACTGCCGCTAACTGCAGAAGGACAACCAAGCTGGAAGCACAAAGGTCGGTGACGAGTTGGAAACTTGCGTTGCGGCAGTGCGCGCACTGCTGCAACTTTTGGCCTTGGCAATTAAATGCAGTCGGCGCGCAGAAGACAGCATCAAATGCTGCCCCTTCTCATTCGAATATACACAATGCATTTTTCGCAGTACCTGCGCTTTCACAAATACAGACCGCCCATGGAGCCTCTTCTATAGTACGGATGGACAATACTCCGTTGCATCGAAAGGTACAACCTTATTGCCAGAATCGCGAGATATGGAAGACCCCCATCCATGGACCCCGCTCCTTTATGTATACGTAATTATAATCTTTAGATGATTAACTTCTGAAAGCAGTCGGTGCCTGATGGATGGGCAACGGATCACCGTGCCTTGCGTGCTCGAGAAAAAAAAGGGTTATTCATGTTTATCGCCCACTCGTTAACCTGGTCAATGCGACTTTTTTGCAACGGTCAGTATCCGTCTCTTCTTGCCCAATATCATTGGCCACCGCAATATTTATAGTGCCATCGACAGAATCGGCTAGGATTTTCGTGACATGAAGACAAATTACCGCGATCATCAGTCGTATTTGCTTTCGGGGTTTGCAAACGTTTTGCAACATGGATGTTCTCGGGTCCCTGCTTCCGACAACATGTCGGTTCCTCGAAACTAGTTGTTGTCGTCCCCCGACAGGGATTGCGACCCCAACCACAAGAGTTCACATCCCATGAAAAGCAAAGCAACATGTTGTCGCCTCACAATGAAAACATGCAAATGCAAGACACAGCAATGCCTGCGTGAAACATAACATAACAGCACGAGCCAGGCGACGACTCATGCCGAACAACGACCTGAGAGGCACATCCGAGGTAAGCAGGCGCTAGGCACTGCAGCACACATGGGCTAAGGCGGGGCCTAAACCACCTGAGGGCAGAGAACCGCAGGGACAACCCTACAGGAGAAGTCAAAGCACAGCCTCAAGTTCATCTAGCACACGAGCACGATTGACCGGCAAGCTTACCAAAGCGACGCCACGAGTCCGGATGCTGAGCGCCACACATGACACACCTCTGCGAGTCACCGACACCCGCAGGAATCGCAATCATACGGCCAGAGCTTTCTCGCGCCGAGGCATTATGCTCATGGAGCGCAGCACGCTTACTTGGAGGTTCATGGGACTTAGTAACTGGGGATATAAATAAGGTAACCATACTTATAACTACTTATAACCCCACTTAAGTCAGTTATAACTGTACTTACTAAGTCCCCTGAACCTCCAAGTAACCACAGTAACACTGTCTCTTGCAGAACCAGGCTTACGAACTACAACCTTATATGAGCAACCTCCACACGTCTGCGAAAGAAATCTGGCAACGTTGTTGCCAGTGGCGCCATATTATGGTAATGTTGTTCACACCTGAGGCGCACGGAGGCATCAAAAGGAACAACTATGTGCTTTCCACGGTCGGCCGCGCCACGGTTGTACGAAACTAGTGTCCAAGTGTCAGCTCCGGAATCCATGACATGAACGGGACTAGCTTGAAACTCAACTCACCAATCCAAGGCACGTCTAGCCGATGTTCACAGCATGTTTAAATTTAGATGCTGGTTTGTGCCTTGCCGTCACATATCAGATTTCGAGTCACAATGATGTTTATGACGGACTGTCTGGTCAATCCAAAACGAAAATGAAACCTGATGTGCGCAGGTTGCGGCATGATGTAACCTTTGCAAACATGGTTTTGCGCAGGATTCCGGCAAATTTTCAACCAATATCTCTAAATGATTTTGCGGTGGTTTAAGTCGACTCGTGTTGCTGGCTGCTTCGAGTGGATACGCGAGGCAACCCTTACTTGCATGTTCGCAGCTGCTTTCCAAACCAACTCCGAACTCGTCGGCTGTCGCTGTTTTTGCGTCTCTGCAGCTTGGCTTCATCGCAATAGTTCTTTGATGCGGTTTCTTGCTCAGGTATGCAATGTGAAAGTCAAGACCATTCTCGTTGCAAGCTTGACAGTCTTGACAGGTCCAATTGCTAGATATGGCATCGGCAATCGGGACCAACCCAGCCGCGACCTTATCAACACCGTCTCGCACGAGGCATGTTGGTCGGCTTCGACGCAAAGTCAGGTTCTCCAGCATGTGTTTGTCCGGCCATAGTCATTATGCTCACTCACCCCCACCGGCGGTGATCGCACCCTCTGGTCATCCCTTGTGCATTCGTACTCTGAATGGTCATGGCCACGGTGGTATTTGCACTTAGTCTTCAGGAGTGCGCGAAGCTCTAAGACAGTGAACACAGACAAAAGGAATCACCAAACTCGCAACATTTCTCCTGTCATGGATGCTGTGTTTATGTGCATCTTGCGGTTGAAACATGATTGTTGTGAGCAACACTGAGGTGACGACGACCTTGCCAAGTGGCCAGCAGATGCTGATGGAGCCTGTGACTGGACAGTTCCCCCCGCAGACTGTCGCACCCATGGGCACACAGCCACCTGGCCCCGGCTACATGTACGCCGCACCGGCCGGAACGGAGGCTGCACCCACGCCCTTGCCTCCGGCAACACAGGCCCCTGGTCCAGGCTTCATGTATGCCGTCCCCACCGCGACTGAGCCCGTGCCCACGGAGCTGCCAGCTGACGCTGCCCCCGGCCCCGGCTACGTCTTCGCTGCTCCCGAGGGCGTGCCACCTGGCGCCATGTATGCCGCCCCCGCGGCCGAGGTGCCACCCGGTGCAATGTACGCCGCCCCTGAGATGCCACAGGGTGCAATGTACGCTGCTCCCGCGGCTATGGAGGGTGCAATGTACGCCGCCCCTACTGCCAGCGAGGGTGCAATGTATGCTGCTCCCATCGGTGAAGGTAGTGAGGGGCAGCCAGCACCGGCGCCGATGCTGGGACAGACCATCATGGGAAACACTTACCAGGCAATGGTGGGTTTTCTTGACGTCCCTTCAATTTGTAGTTTTGGTGTATGAGAATCTGCTTCTGGTCGCCCTGCGCATATCCTTTTTCCTCGAATCTGCCAGGTCAGAATCCCGGTGGACAGCGTGAGGGATGAGAGCGGCGCCGCGATGACGCCGCTTGCGTGGATTGGGAAACTCCTCTGCTTAGAGACAAGCTTCGTGGGCTAGAATACCATGCATCATGTGCAACTGGTTCAGGGTCCCAGCTAGCTAGTCGAAGGTGCATGGCAAGTTATACGAGACACTTCAACACATAGTCAGAGCCGCGGAATTGGCATGCCTAGAACTTTTAATCAGAGCGATAAACCACCCAGAAGAAGTTCATACCAACCCGAAGTTTTGTACGGCAGGTGCCCAGGTGAGCTAGTGTTTGCAAGCTTTTTTGAGGTTGCCTATGCTCGGGTTCGGCCGTCTGAAAACCCCTCGGTTTTATAGCATCGGGATTCTATAAACACCTTTTTCGAGTAACATTGTTAGTAGTCATGACATCTTTCACTGTAGTGACGTGGCCACAACAACAATGCAACCAGTTTACAGTAGTCATGTTCTTATCAACCGTAGTACTGATCAGCAAGAGAGTTAGCATAAGCAGAAGAAAGCAAGGAGAATTATTGTATCCTTGGCGTTTTCGACGATAGCGAGGATGGTGGCAATGCTACAGCTTTTTGAGGAGAGTGCAGGCACTATGAGTGGCATAAGGACAGAGCGGCAGTGCATGTAGTGAAAAGGTTTAAAGCACGTTGAACTTGTGTGTTCCGAACATGGTGATCAAGATACTACTGACTGGCAGTGCTTGCGCCAGAACCGCTCTACACCCCAAACACTCGCGAGCCCCAAACCTTTGTATCCTAAACCCCGACACCCTAAACCTGAACCCAAGCGTGCAGGCAGTGGCCCGCCGCCTTCAAGAAGATCCAGGCGGCCAGTTTTGTGGGGTTTTTGGGGTTCTCAGTAACACAAACTCCACTTCTGGATAGGAAGCCTGCTTGGCTCTTGCTCTTAGGATTTCGGTTTTATTTTTGGGGTTTAGTGTGTAAATATGATAAACTTCGGCTTGATGGGCTTGGGATGGCTTAGCATTGGGAGGATACCTTTATCTGTATGATCGTGTAGCTTTCCGATGCGATGCCGGCTGGGCATATGTTAGATGTATGTCAAGAACATGTATATTTTGTAGTCTGCTGTCCTAACCCACCCTTGGCTCGCAACAGGGCTGCTTAGTAATGTGGGTTTTGTGTGTAGAGTTTCTATAGGAAGCCATCCAATTCCAAACTTTCTGAGGGTTGAGGGTGCAGTGATCTGATCAGCAGTTTGTAGTTCGAGATTCGAGAGCCCCGCAAGTTGCAAGCGGAAGTCCGAAACCTTGGACTCGACGGACTACGTCTCGGGGAGTGTGACTTTTTGCGTTTTGGCGGGGCTTCAAGCTTCAGTTTCAGACCCGGCCAACTTCAAAGAAATATATTGGTCCTCAATTCACCAAGCCTTCGGAGACCTTGGCAGGTGGACGGTGAGACCCAGTACGTGGCCGGGAAGACTGAGGAGGTTGATGGACCGGCGCAGGCTGCCAAAACGGGTTTTCGAAAGAAGGATGGTGGGCGTGCGTGGTGCAACTAGTGCGCACCCAGTTATATAGCATAGTCTCGATGCTACATTATGTTGTGTTTGCAAAAGATGAACCACAACGACGGCACCAGCAGCGGCGGCCGCGGCGGCGGCAGCAGCAGCAGC